GTTGTCTTGCGCGCCAACAGGGAGTAAGTAACAGGCAAAATGAGTAACAAACAGCTATCTTTGGAAAGTTTTTTTACAAAGGGGAAAGTGGTCAGTGAAGAGGCAGAAGAGCCCACTTGCAAGAAAAGAAAAAAAACATTTAACAGACAATACCAGGAGTCCTACTTGAAATATGGATTTATCCCGGTAGGTGATTGTCATGTTCCAAGCCCGCTCTGTGTCATATGTGGTGACCGGCTTGCTAATGAGGCAATGAAGCCGTCAGAATTGCTTCGGCACTTAGAATCAAAACATCCCGGATTAAAAGACAAGCCGCTGGAGTATTTTGAAAGAAGAAAACAAGAACACGATGGACAGAAGAAATTACTGAGGGCCACCACAACAGTAAATGCAAATGCCCTGAAAGCATCGTACTTGGTCGCTCATCGTATTGCTAAGGCCAAAAAGCCATTTACTATTGGTGAAGAATTGATTTTGCCCTCCGCTAAAGACATTTGCCTTGAACTACTAGGAGAGGCTGCTGTTAAAAAGATCGAGCAGGGGCCTCTGTCGGCTAGCACCGTGACTCGGCGCATTGAAGAAATAGCTGAAGACATTGAGAGCCAACTGTTGGAGAGGATTAATAAATCACCGTGGTACGCCCTCCAGGTAGACGAATCTACAGATGTTGACAACAAGGCAATACTACTTGTGTATGTGCGATATATTTATCAGGAGGAGGTGCATGAGGATATGTTATGTGCATTATTGTTGCCAACCAACACCACCGCCGCAGAACTTTTCAAGTCGCTGGATGGTTATATATCAAAAAAACTGAAATGGTCCTCTTGTGTGGGCATATGCACAGACGGAGCTGCTGCTATGACCGGACGGCTGTCTGGTTTAACTGCTCGGATTAAGGAAGTTGCACCTGAATGTGAATCTACGCATTGTATCATTCACAGGGAAATGCTGGCAAGCCGAAAAATGCCGCCAGAACTGAACGGCGTATTGAATGATGTTGTTAAAGTCATTAACAATGTCAAAGCACAAGCCCTTAACTCTCGCCTCTTTGAGCAACTTTGTGAGGAGATGGACGCCGGGCACAGGCGCCTCCTCTTATACACTGAAATAAGATGGTTGTCCCGAGGAAAATCGCTGGCCAGAGTGTTTGAATTACGAGAAACGCTGCAGAGATTTCTCTCAGAAAAGAAGTCGCCGCTGGCAGCACATTTCAGTGATAAAGAATGGGTCGCGAAATTGGCTTATCTGTGCGACATATTCAACCTGCTCAATGAACTCAATCTGTCACTTCAAGGAAAGATGACAACTGTCTTCAAGTTGGCAGATAAAGTAGCTGCATTTAAAGCCAAATTGGATTTGTGGGGACGGCGCGTGAACAAAGGCATATTGGACATGTTTCAAACGCTAGCGGGGATTTTGGGTGAGAATGAGCCTGAGCCTTCATTTTCTCAGCTGGTGCAGGATCACCTCTCTTTGCTTTTAAAGGAGTTTGAACGCTACTTCCCAACCACAAAAGACCCACGAACTGGCAAGGAATGGATCCGCGACCCATTTCTTAACAAACCAGGTCAATGTAGCATGTCTGTGCAAGAAGAAGATCAGCTAGTGGAGATCGCAAATGACGGCGGCCTTAAAAATATGTTTGAGACAGCAATTCTGCCCGTGTTCTGGATTAAAGTCAGGGCAGAATACCCTGACATCGCCACCACAGCACTGAAAACCCTGTTGCTATTTCCGACATCATATCTATGTGAAGCGGGGCTTTCTGCAGTGACCAAAACAAAACAACGGAATAGGCTGGACATAAGCAACACACTTCGAGTGTCGCTATCCCCCATCAATCCCAGATGGGACCGTCTACTTGGAGAGAAACAACCTCAGGGCTCTCATTAATGTGTCGTTGTCATGAGTTAAAATGTTCTTAAAAATAAAAATGTTCTTTATACTCATTTTTGCGACATATCTGTATTTTATTTTGAAGGGATGTCTAAACGTTACAGCGTTTGAGCGTCAGGGCAGTGGTCAGCAAGAGAGAGCTTGTGAGTCTATTTGAAATATATTCATGTTAATCTATTTCTAATTAAAAAATCGTGCCGTGTTCACATGGCACAATTTTAGAGTTGTCGGCTGATTTTCAAAACCTGAGAGACCACACACCAACCGCTAAAATAAACAACAAAAAATATTAAGTATATAACAGTTTCGATCATGCAGTGTGGTACGAGTCAGGAGCAACACAACCACACCCGAACCGACATTCAGATTCCAGATAGAGAAATTTGTAAAAACGCACTGTTTATGAATTTAGAGTAAACAAACGCGGCCGACAAGGTAGTTTGTGAGCTTATTTGAAGCGATAAAAGATATATATAACAAAGAAAATGCGTTGGATTAGAGTAGAAAGAGCGCGAGTACCGCCTCTATTTGCTGCACTAGATGGAGGTAAATTCTGTTCCCCAAACAGTGTCTGAGTGCAGCATGAACTTCCACATAAGTACATATAAAACCATTTGGTGAGATGGCACGAAACTGCCTCCATCCAGCCTCTAAACAACAATAAAGACACCAGTTATTTGTAGATTTATATGCTCTCCAGCAAAAACAAATGGAATTTAATGAATGACAGGCATTATCAAATAATAATTATAAGCAAGTGAAAAAAAACAGGCTTTTTTCAATGTATACATGTCTTTCTTTTGACACACATTCCCAATTCAAGCACTTACATTTAAAGAGTGATGCTTCATCCCACACAGCCCTTAAAGTTTTAGATGTTTCCCATCACTCACACATCTGAATCAAATCCATTCAGGCTTGAGCAGAACTTAATATTTGTAAGCTTTCATTCTAATCAAGTGTGTTTTAGCTGTTTTATATCTGACATGAAACACAGCAGCATTTCTACAGCTCACTTTACTCATCACTGTGTGTTTTAGGACCCTGTGGACGTCCCACTGAGGGCTCCCACACATCCATAAACAGGCTGGACTGAGGTGGACATCCATTTTAACCAGCAGCCTCTGAACATATCCACCCGGAGCAGAATGGCCTTCCTCCTGGAGCCCGGCGGGTCCTTCAGGAGTCTTCTTTCTCCTGGAACCTGCAGGAGCACAAACAGAGTCAGGACCCGGAACCCCGGACCCCCCCCCCCCAGCCCCCCGGGATAACGGCAGCCACCTGCAGTGCGTGCAGGTGAAGAAGACGGTCTGGCCCTCGTCGGCGGATCGCATCTGCCTGGTGTGGTAGATCATCCCCTCTTTGTTACAGCGGGAGCAGCGCCGGTCGATCTGGAGGGAGAAGGAGAACTGGTGATGAGTCCCTCCATATCCAAGTTGGTGTCGATTACATATGTCGTCACGTTTGAAGCCTCGCAAACCAGCCGGACCACGTGACTGATTCAGGAAGTGGTTCGCAGTTTGGCCGTCTATTTTAAATATAAGGGCCATAGACGTCTTTTATGTTTTTCAACGCGAGTGTCTGGGGGACGATCTGCTAAAGCTTGTCCGTAAATATCGGCTTCTAGACAGAGTATGTAGTAACAAATTGACCCTCTAGGGGGCAGTGCCACTTTTGATGGGAGATGAGCATAAACTGTAGGCAAATAAGAAAAAGCTAACGGTTCGCTATGAGAGAACATGTCGCCGGTGAGACGCAAGTCCAGGAAGAACGGAATAAGGTAGAAACAAAAAAAATTTTCCTGATGAAAGAAGAGAGTCTACTCTTTCTTTTGGTGTGTTCGGTGTTTACATAGTCATAGCACAAACTATTCTGTGGCTCTTGATAAAATCAGTCAAAATGCTCAAAGTCAATGAGTTAATTACGAGTTTGTTAGCGATCTATTAAAGCTTCTCTGTCATTGTTTCATCAAGACATTATGGTCCATTATGGTAACCGCTTATTAGAATTGGGCTATAATTACTCACTTTAGCATAGTATGCTACAACTTAATCCATGTAAATGACTGATTGTCTTATTCCTTTTAGATTCATATTATTCCCTTTATAATTATACTTTTGGGTTAAACTCTCTACTCCTCCTCCTCTCTCTGTTACAGTAGATACTCGTCTTCAAGCTCAACATCCACACTTTCTTATCACATTCCACCTAAACCTGCATGAATTAGGACCTGGCCTGTTCCTGTCAGAGCTAACTGGCCAATAACACTCGTCCTCCTGTTGGAGGCCCAGAGGAAAACTGACCATCACACCCGGAAATCCAGGCTCTTCCAGACTGAGATCCTCCGGGAGCTTTGTCTGTGAGAGCCCAGCTGCTTTACTCTGCTTGTGACCAATAAATGTCAGATTTGTACTCTTGATCTGCTCTGGTTTATTCTCAGGCTTCCAACTAAAGAACCAAACTAACACGCTGATCCCCTAATGGGGACTGGAGCCTATCCCAGAAACCAATGGGGAGAGGCTGGGTCCCCCTGGAAGGCAGCATCACAAACATAATTGATTAATTAATTTAATGCGTCAGACACCAAAGCCAGAGTCTCATTATAATCACGCTGTACGGATTACATTTATTGTCCACTTTATGGCACAATAGAGGCAAAATGAAGCCCCGTGAAGCTTCAACACATGCATGAACCAATTGGATTGAACGCTTTAATGCTTTATGGAGCTTAATTTGGCCATAACTAAGGAGAGTATCCAGCTCAGGCAGCAGACGGCCTCTTCCAATCCAATCCCCCTTTATTTTATATCCTCCTGAGACCCGGCCCATTCATTTATGTCCATTCTAGTGGACATTTTGTCCACCTGTACCCCCCCTAAGTATCTGGAGTTACCCTATCAAGCCCTATAGTGTTCTGTAGAGGACATCCTGGGCTTTCCAGTGATGTGCCATGTGATAGGTTTGCATGCTGAGAACTTTACTTTTTTCCTAAGAGTTTTTAGGTAAATATCCCTTTCAAGACATCTTCTTTTTTATTATTTAATTATCTAAAGCCTGTTTTATTTTCCCATGCAAATCGTCCTGTTGTCCTCCACAGTGGACATGCTATGAAATTAAAATTAAAATTTTTTTTTTTTTAATTTAAATTGTAATGTTCTTTTTTGGGTCCAAATACATGGAAAATCACAACAAAAATAAATTTGAAGACACTTTTTTTCTTTGGGTCTCAGGAGGATATTGCACAATTTAAACAAACACGGGGTTTTCCAAAGTGCTGCACAAAAACATATCCAGAAAAATAAAAAACACAGTAGAAATTCTGCTAAAAATATGCATGAGTATACATAAAATCAACACTCTCCATGGTGTCAAAAGCCAAAAGCCCAAAGAAAAGAGGTGGGTCGAATATGATTAAAATAGGTGTTTGTGTGTGAATGGGTGCATGATCTAGGGGGGTGGATTATAAAGATATATATAAAAATGGATGAGAATATGTAGGTATACATAAATAGGAAATTAATTTAGTTAAATTATATATTAAGAGTAGGAGTAGGAAGATACAAATACTTATATAAGTTGATAGTCCATATCGAACCACACTCCATACCAGCAGGTGGCGGTAATGCTGCTTAAAGTTTGTTGCAAACCGCCAATAAAATCAAGAAGAAGAAGAAGAAAAGAGGTGGGTCTTACCACGGGCCCCTTCAGCTCCGAGCCCTCCTCATCCCGGAGGGACACCTGGGACTCCTCCGCGGGGTTAAAAACAACCACTGACCGGACCTCCTGGCCAGAAAACTCTGGAAAAACAAGCACAACTTTAGTCTGTTATGAGTAGGGATGGGGATCGAAATCCGGTTCTATCAAGGACCCGGTTCCACTTTTTTCAAAACCCCAAAAAATCAATACCGTTTGGGCTTATCGATACCACTATCGAGTCTGGTCGTTTTTTTATTATTACAATTGTTTAATCCGTGTTGTAATCGGTAGCATAGAAGCTAGTTAGCTTGAAAAGTAAATAAAGTTTCAGATGTGTTCAGATTGGCTCAGTAAAACGACAATTAGGTTATCATGATGCGTTCAAGTGTAACGTAAAGAAAAGGGAAATTGAGTTTTTGGCGAGAAACATGAGTAATACAGTTGTATATTGCTCTAATTATTTTAGAATATATAATTAAACTACTGATGCCAACATTTATTAAAAATTTATTTTAATTTAAAATACAATTATTTATTTGCTAAATATTGTCGCATCGTCTTTCCACCAAATAACAGAAAAGTATCGATAGTGGTATCCATAAAGACTCGGATCAATAAGGAGTATCGATAAAGGTATCGATTTCGATAAATATTAACGATCCCCATCCCTAGATATGAGGAAAGCGTTCCCCGGCCGGAGCACCTGTCACCGGGATGCGGAAGGAGCACCGGGGGCACCGGACCGTGTCCGAAACCCCGGGCAGCGGGAGGACGTTCCCACACTCCGGGCAGAAGTTTGGATCCCCTCTGAAACACGACATCTGAGCTATCCTGCTTTCTGATCAGGCTTCCCGGGGTTGGCTCGAACCGCCGCTTTTCCTAAATATGAAGCGGAAAATTAAAAAAACAATTTTTTAGAGTCTGAAGCGTGGTGAGAACACCAGTTGTGTTACAGATGTTAACCTGTTTTTCTCTTTTTTCCGACAACAACAACACCACGCGTGTCCGGCTCCAGTTCCTCCTCTGACGGCTTTCCGGGGTCCTACCGCTCTCCGCCGTCGCATAATGTGACGTCATAACGTGACAGAATTCGCAGCTCCTTCAAAACACTGAATGTTTTTGTTGCCTTTTAGTTTTTCGTATTTGAATTTGAGGTGAAATTAAAAAGATGAAAACACGAGTTAAGTAAAAACAAATAAATAAATAAATAAAATTTTAAATGGATCAAACAAATAATATAACAGACTGAATAATCACATGCATAGGAGGGTTTTCATTTGAAGGCAGTTTTCCAGGGACAGATTTAGGGCACATCTGGCCTGGGAGCAGGAGTCCTGGGACCTGTTGGCTCTGGGAAAAACCTTTTGCCAGCAGCAGGAGGAATTCCTAACTCTGCCCTCATAACACAGCCAGCATGTGGGATTCATTTGGATTCAGTTACAGCTTTCCACTTCAGAAATGTTGTGTTATTCACTGCTTTCGTTCATGTCGGGCAGCTCGGGCTATAAAAAAACCTCTTTTAAAAGCAAAGTGTGGAAAGCTTTTGCATCAGCGTGTGATGTTCTTGTGGGTAAAGTCATACACGGAGCCGACAGGGTGTCTGCTTCCAGATGTGTGGAAACAGGATGCGGAGCAGGAAGCCGGACGAGAGGCAGCTGCTGATCTCAGCTTATTCTGCAGGACAAACAACCCTGAACTGCTCACATGACAGGCTGTCACACCCTGTGACTTCAGAGTAATGCGATCACATAAACCCACTAAGGTTTTTTTAAATAGGCCAAAGAGAAAAAAACAACACATTAGTGACAGAAAGCCACAGAAACCTGAAAGCCCAAGCTCTGGACTGGGATGAATAGGATGCATTCAGGGGAGTTTAAACTACCCATGTGGGGTTTTAGCTAAATATTTCCCCCGTTTGGTGTTGGAGGCCCACTTATCTGCAGAGGACCCACAGGATGATGGGTTTCAGCTCTTCTGGGTCTCTGATCAATGTCTTTTTTTTTTTTTTTTATTTATATAGCGCCACATCACAACAACAGTTGTCTCACAGCGCTTTCCAAACAGAGCAGGTCACACCCTACTCTGAAGTTAATTACAGAATCCCAACAATTCCCACCATGAGCAAGCACTAGGCGACACAGGCAAGGAAAAACTTCCTTTTAACAGGCAGAAACCTCGAGCAGAACCGTCTCAGTGTGGACAGACATCACAATCAGTCAGGAAAGACTTCTTCAACTAGTGAACAAATATCAAAATAGTTGATTTTATTTATACTGTATTAAAAGTTATAAACAATTCAGGCAGTGGTTTCTCACGTCACTACACAGAAATGGGAACCAGCTAGTAATCTCCCAAAGCTAATTACAGTACGCTGATAATCGTCTCTGCAACAAACAACATCTGTCGACTGTTCTTGAACCCGACTGAGTACAATCGACCACGAGCAGCCCTGCTGTGGGTCATCGCTAAAGTCAGACTGCGACAGGTCAAAGGTCAAAAGGTCTACTTCAACAAAGTCGGTTTTACGAAAGTCTTTCTACTCTCATTTTCTTCCTTCACTATGAACAACTTGTACTCATTTAGTTCATTAATCCCGATAGAGAATTTGGAGAATTCCTTCCTGGACTGATCAATAACCACCACCACCTACCCCCCGCCCCCCCCCCCCTGCTGGTTAAATATGGTGTTACCTGCTCCCGTCTAGAGAAGCTAAGCTAAGTGGTCAGACTCTGACATCTGAGCATCTCTGAACCCTCCAGACTGAGAGTCACACAGACTCTCTGGCTCCACTTTACAACCAGCTCCAGATCAAAAGTTCACACCAAGATCTCCCCCCTCTCTACCCAAAGGTCTGAGGCTTAACTTTAGCTTTCTGCCTGTGTGCACCCTCAGTCCCCGGGTCAGTGTCCACTCACAGCTGTGGCATGATCACAATGCAAACAAAAAGAAAAAAAAAAAAAAAAATCATCCGATACAAAAACAGGCCCGGAAAAGCAAGGCACATAGCCAGAAGCTGCTCTGAAACAGTGTGTTTAGGGTGTGTTTCCGTTAGGGTCCAGAGCCTGGAGAAGTCAGTGGGTGAAGCTGTTCGGGAACGATCCCAGATCTGGTGTCCAGATCTCCGTGTCCAGTTGCCTCCAGCCTCAGGGTGTCCGCTGTTCTTTGGTCTTCGTCTGGGCTTTCCTCCTGTCCCAGTCCCAGTCTGGCCGGTTCTCAGCTAGCTCCAGCTAACGTCGTACTGGGTCCAGCCCTCGGGCGGGGCCAGGAACACCCTCCGGCCCCGGTGCAGGAAGCTGACCACGCCCCTGTAGCCTGTCCGGGGAACCCCCGACTTCAGGTCGTCCATCACGCCCAAGTTCCGGGCAAAGACCTTGAAGCTGTCCCTGCTGGAGTACTGAACCCTGTAGGGGCCGGGCCCCCTGAGGCCGCCCCCCTGCTGCAGGTCCTCGATCCTCACGGGGGTGGCGCCGTAAACCTCCTTGACGAAGGCGTCGTCGTACTTTTCCTTCAGCAGGTAAGACAGGTCGTGTTTGGTGAAAGGCACAAACTCAGCGTTCAGCTTGATGTAGCGCAGGTACTGGTCGAAGAACTGGCCAAGGCTGACCCCCTTCCGGCCGAAGGTGATGGTGCGGGAAACCTCGGGCCGCACGCAGGATCGGCCCCGCCGCTGCTCCGGCTGCCGCATCCAGTCGTCCCAGAAGGCCGGCGGCCATTTTGGCTCCAGCTCGGCCCACATGTCCCTCAGCAGCATCCAGCCCAGGCCGGGGAAGAAGTCGGTCCGGTGGAGCAGCCCCGGCTTGGCCGGGTCCACCAGGGCGTCCCGCCCGTTATCGTTCCAGGCCGAGACGCACCAGAGGCTGGGGTCGGCGCGCAGGACCGGGTACAGCGCCCGGAAGTACTCGAAGAAGTCCGGCGCCACCTGCAAGACAGAAGGGGAGGCTCACTGACCGCTCAGGGAACCGCTAAGAAGGCCTCCAGATCAGGGGTCCTCAAGGTTTTCCAGACCAAGGATCCCTAAACTGATGGAGAGATGGAGCGGGGACCACGAATGATATACAGTGGGGGAAATAAGTATTTGACCCCTTGCTGATTTGGCAGGTTTGCCCACTTACAAAGAATGCAACGATCTATAACTTTAATCATATGTACATTCTAACAATGAGGGACAGAATCCCAAAGAAAATTCCAGAAAATCACATCATATGAATTTAAAAAAATTGATAACCATCTGATGAGGAAAAATAGGCATTCTTTGTAAGTGGGCAAACATGCAAAATCAGCAAGGGGTCAAATACTTATTTCCCCCACTGTATATTGTCTGTTATTGTGTTCTGTCAAACTGGTCCTATAGTGTGTAAATGTGCCTTGTTATTGGGCATTCAGTACTAAGATCCTCAGATAATCCACAAGTTGATATCTTCCTGTTTTACTGTAAACATCTGGTTCTGGTTCCTGGTGTTGTGAATGAAACGGGGCCCAGCTTATAAGAGCTCCTGTGTGATAGATAGATAGATAGATAGATAGATAGATAGATAGATAGATAGATAGATAGATAGATAGATAGATAGATAGATAGATAGATAGATAGATAGATAGATAGAGCTCCTGTGTGTGGCTGAATGTGAGTGTTGATGACTGGAAGACATCTTCTGCCTCCATTTATCTGTTTACTACAGCCTGTTGAAGTCATGTTCATGTGGATTTAAAGACATTTACATTAGGGGAAAACATTGCGGGGGGGTATATAAAAAAAAAAAGTAATGAACCAAAACCTTCACGACCCCCATGCAGTACCTCCAGGACCGACCTAGGGGTCGCGGACCCCTTGTTGAAAACTTCAGATCTAGATCAGTGGTCCCCAACCCCCGGGCCGCTAACTACCCAAGTACTAATTAATTGTTTCCGTTGTATTTATTCTCCGAGTCTGAATAATCTTTTGTTTTGTAAAATCTTTTATTTTGAAAAATGACCGGATTCTCTCGGTTACATCTCGGTCACTTGAGCGCCAACAATCTTACCCGCAAGTTAGAAAAATGAGTAAAAAAGCAGACGTCTTTGGAAAGTTTCTTTTAAGAAACACGCCATGCTTCTATTTTTGGGCCAAGCAACAGCAGATGTAGGCCCAGAGAGGCCTGAGCCCTGTGGGCCCCACAACGGAGGATCCCTACGAAAAACATGAGCCCAACAACGGAGGGGCCCCACGACGGAGGAACCCCATGACCCAAGAGTAGGGTAGTCAAAACTATCGATACTCAAAAAAGTATCGATACTAAAATGTTGTATCCGGATACGATACTCATTTTCAAAAGTATCGATACCACCGCCCCCCCCATTGTTTATGGTCATTAACAAGACGTTAGCCTTGAACTGCTAGCTTCGGCTAATGGCTAACAATAACGTGCTACCACTAATCAAGTACATATCTAACTCCGCCCACATCCAAGTCACCAATAGG